TTCTTTTGTAATTACTACTGGCTATCTCTTAGCTTTCCAACAGTTTTGAATCACCAAAATTCGATATCGAGAACTCGAGATATGTCCATTTTAGTGAAGACATCGCATACAGAAAATCCTATACGAGATTAATATGAGATTTTGTAAATATTATGAATTTTTAATATTTTTATTGATTATTTGTAATATAATTTAAAATAGGATGATGCATTATCTTTTATGATTATATTTATTATTATTTTAGAATTAAGATCAAGTTAAAACATTAGTTTATTAGTATTTTATTAGTTAGTCATGTTACTACAAGGATTCCTCAAAACCTATATAAGGAGGCTCATTCCCTTCATTGTAATCATCTTTTGTTTAAATAATAACCAATGTGAGTACATTTTTTCAAGAGTTGAATGCCTTGTGCCTTTTAAGATTCTTTTCCTTTGAATTCTTTTCAAGTTCTTGAGAGAAAGATCTTCACACTTTGGTTTGCCTTCTCATTGCGATTAGAAAGGCCGGTTAGAGCCATATTATCGAGTTTTCCTTCTCATTGTGACCAGGAGGGTTAGATAAGGCATATCCATTTATCTTCATCTTCCAAAAGCCACCATATTCTTCTTCCATCATCACGCCATCACCATACACAAACCCTAGGGTTTGCGTTAAGCATCATACTACTGGGGGTAAATTTTCAAATCACTGTTTACAAAGATCCGACCGCCAGAATTCCGATCCGTCTTCTACGTTGCAATCCTTATCTTGTTATATTTTCAACGAGTACTCATCCATCAAAATCTAGCAAAAACATCCCCTTTCCCGCTCATTACAAGGGAGATAAGCTTAATTCCTTTATTACATATTTTATCTTTAGTTTATTTCATTACCCTTGTTTTTCCCTTATCCTAATTTCATTAGAATTCTGTTACCCTTATTTTTATTATCTTAACCTCTTATTCTTTATCTTAAAACCAGTAACTCAAAACCCTAATCCAAGTACCTTATTACCACCCACATCTTTCTTTTATCATCTCATTCTTTGATTGAGTCTAAAGTTTTCTAGGTTTAATTCTTCAATGAAGAGCAACATTCATCATCCGCTGCCACTTCTCTATCATAGTTTGAGATGAAAGATTTGGGTTCTACAAAGAAGATCTTTGGAATAGAGATTATAAGAGACAAAAAAGTAGGTAAATTATATCTAAGTCACAAAGGGTACATTGAAAAGGTTCTTTGCATGCTTAATATATAGTGTGAAAAGCCTGTGAGCACTTCGCTAGTAGCTCACTTTATAATTTCATCATATTATTCGACAAATTCATAAAGAAGGTAGAGTACATGTCACATGTTCCATATTCTAATACGATAGGATCTCTAATGTATGTTATGGTTCGTATGCTTCCAAATTTAGTGTATGTTATCAGTTTAGTGAGTAGATACATAGCAAATCCCGATAAAGAACATTGAAAAGTTGTCCAATGGATTTTTAGGTACTTCGTGGTACTAGTGATGTTTGCTTGTAGTACGGGCGAACTAGAGATGAAATTGTGGGATATGTTGATTCTATTTTTATAGGAGATCTTGGAAAGAGGGGATCACTTATGGGATATGTCTTTGTGGTTGAAGGATGAACCATTAGTTGGAAAGTAACTCTCTAGAATACAATCGCCTTGTCAACGATAGAAGGAAGTGCATGGTGATCACTAAAGTTTGTAAGGAAGCAATTTGATTGAAGAGACTCTTTGGTGAACTTAGTGAAAACCTTTAGATTAATATAATGTTCTGTGATAGTCAAAGCGCTATATTCTTAATGAAAGATCAAATGTTTCATGAGCGGATGAAACATGTTGATATTTGTTATCACTTTGTGCGCGATGTGATTACTCAAGGTGACATTGTTGTGAGAAAAGTTAGTACTAACGAAAATCATGCTAAGTTGATGACCAAATTGTTCCCTACAAAAGTTTGAGCATTGCTTGAACTTGGTCGGTATTCAATATTGAAGATTACCCCTTGGAGAGGTGTTGTGAAAGAGGTGAAGAACTTGTTCATTGAAGTGAAGAATTATTTTTTTTGTGCCTCATAAAATTTAAGTGTTTTGTCTCGAATCCTTTGCACTTTTAGAATTTGTGTCAATGTGGAGATTTGTTAAAGTTTGATTCAAATTTAAAGTGACACAATTTAATTGCGAAAGTAATAAACGTAGTTTGATTAAAAGTAGAGAACTTTATTAAAATAACTTTTTATAAAGTATTTTTTACTTTATTTAGTTTCCTTTGTAATTAATTATATATCCCTATAAATAAATACTAAGGGTAACAATTAGATATTATGTTTTTCTTTCTTTCTCTTGCATTTTCTTTCTTCATATTAGCGAAATTCTTCTACTTTCCTATGGTTTTTTTTCCTTTGGGTTTTTCACCTAAATCTTCGTGTTATTTGTTTTTGTTTTTTTAATCGTGTTTATTCGTTTGCCGATAATCGTTTAGATATTATAACAATTTCACACTCTGAAATCTTATTTGTGCCCACCCTATATAAAAAATATATTATTAATATATATCATTCTGAAAAATATTTTTGAATCTTTTAGTGCGTGAAAGGTTTTTCATTGTTGGAGAATTATGCTATCATTTTTTAAATACATCTAATATTTAATCGTTAGACATTAATGTTTGTATTTTTGAAAAGGGAAAGGGCTTCCAGGTCCAGGGGATTATTATAAATTAATGACGTATCAAATTGACCATTGTTGTTAAAGATTTATTTGGATATAATAAACATTTATGAAGCTTGATCTTTTTGAAGAAAAATTAATGCTTAAACATTGTTTAAATTGAAGCCAAGTCATTCCAGTATTCCTTCAATCAAAAGCTGATTACTATTATATACAAGTAATGATGAACATAAAGCACATATACATAATTTAAGTAAGGGAATGACATTAAAAATATCTAAACAAATTGAATGTCTAGTTGCCATATGCATTCCTTTTTGTTTCTAGTTTGATCGTAATTCGGTCCTTGTGTAGATATATTATCAAGTGGAGCGAAAACAAATGCTAAGATCAAATTTGGGAGCCATTTTCCCAAAAATGGCTCGCAAACCATTCTCCAAAGGAGTCAAATTCAAGTCCAAATCCAAACTTTCGCCATTCGATCTGCTCAACAAAGGCAGATTTGAAGGCAAAACAGGCGTCATCAAAGTTTCATTAATGGAAACTCTTTACCCATTGCGAACCCTTTGCCGTATATTGCACACTCGTGGATCTTTTCCTTTTGATCCATTTGCCAATCCTTCATTATCCCTTGTCAATATGGATTTCTTATGGCTCGCCCTATGGCCTCCCAGCGCTTGGAAGACGAGAATCGACAACGGCAAGTTTTACACTCAAAAACATAGTCGTCGATCAAATGGTTTGGTTTTGGCTTGGCTTCTGGGCTTTGAGACATAAATATCAGACATTTTGTAATGTCGATGGACTCGAGTATCACTCTCTCTTCATTTTCAAGACTTCTCTTCATCTCTAACCAACAAAATGTAACGAAACATTTGTTGGTTTTTAAGACCACAATTAGAGGTAATGTTTTAGGTTGATGACTATGAAACATTAGAGCTTGTATTTATATGCATAATTTGTACCAAGGATCTTCTATTTGACTGAAACTAAAAGTACAAAGGCTGGTCTTTTGTGGCATTAAATAAATTTGGGTGCTTTCTTTTTTAGCAGACGGAAGGAATTGAATGCAACTTGCGTAACCATTACGCAAAAGCAAATTCACAAATGGCGAGCTGCTATGGCCGTGAACGAGCACTTAAATTTCGGAAATATTATTATGTTTGTGGGCAAATCTATGGTCCCCAAAGGGCATTTCTAGTGAACATAATAGTGTGACCACACGTACAAACAAAGCAATTAAGAAAAAGTTTTGCTGGATTGGATTAGTTAATTCAATTTTTATATTTAACAAATATGAGGACATATCAAGTGATTTCCATGTTAAAGGAATTATTGATCATTCTTGATGACCCGGATTCGAGCATCATAAATGTTAAAGGTATAAGCGTTCAATATAAAAAAATAAGAGTTATCTTTAAACAGATGCTATATTGTACGTACTTTTTACATACCCAGATTATTAAGGCATTTTTTTTAGAAAAACAAACGCGCTATCAAACATACAAATATAATCAAAGTCAAATGACAACAGTAACAACACGTACATACGATGATCGTATTAAGGCATTCTTGTACCGTAACATTGGAGGTCTCAGTAGTATGGTGTTTTTGGCTTTTTATATATATATGTATTCGAATTACATAAATATTTTGTTTGTTATGCAGTAGAGAGCTTTACGATCTGTTGTTTATTCTACCTTGATTATTTCTTATGATAATGGTTATGGTTCATTATAGCAAAAAAAAAAATTCTCAGATTAATAAAGTCCAAGCTCCCCTCTTCTTCTAATTTTCATCTTATTAACATTATGATTGATCAAAGTCACATACCACTAGGATTTAGATCAAAATAAAATATTTAAAAATTTTAAATATAATAATCATCAACGATGAAGGTCAATACGGCGATCGATCGCGATAAATCATGATCAAAATCTAAATTAGTATCTAAGTGGCTGAAAAATTAATAATAAAAAGTATCAAACTAGTACAATGTAAAGAGATAACGGTTAAGTAAAAATATTCAATGTCTAAAATTTATTGATAAATTGAATTTTTTTATATTTTGACCAAAAAAATGATTTTGTTGTTATTAGAGGTTTTATGTTCAAACATTAGCATTTACAAAGATATTTGAACGTTCATTATAACGTGTAATTATTTTTTGGTGTCTTAACTATCTTAAATTTTAAAATCAGCCTATTATAAGTTATTATGTGGTTAGAATCATGATATTTTAAGGGGGAAGTGAATGTAATAATATTATTAAAAATTTCTATTTCAACTACAACAGATGAACATACGAGGAATAAACAAATCAAAAGAAGAGAGGAAATAAAAACATTCACATGTTGTATCAAATGCAAAGATCAACCTTGGGAGCCTTGTTCCCAAACAAAACTTGCAAATCATTCTCCAACGGCGTCAAATTCAGGTCCAAGCAAACAACCCTCCGATTGCTATTTGATCTCTTCAACACCGGCACCGTCAAAGCGAGCGGAAACGGCGAGAAGCATTCGTTCATGGTGATCCGATGCCTCCTCATATGACCACCCAAAGCTTGTCCCATTGAAAACACTTTACCGCAAATGGAGCACTCATGAGCCTTGGACTCGGTGGATGATAAACTAAGGAAATGCGTTGTTTTGTTTGGTTTGTCCCCCACCAATTTGGGTCTCTTGTGGCTTGCTCGGTGACCCCCCAATGCCTGGAACGACGGGAAGCTCCGGTGACAAGTTTTGCACTCGAACACCTCGCTGGCCGAATGGTGTTTTTGCTCAGTTTCTAGGCCTTGAGATAGCAGCATCAGACATTTTGCAATGTTGAAACCCTGAATCTCTACACTATCTCTTCCTCTTTTCATCTCGATATGAATTCTGGGTTTATGGCTAAAGGAAATGGGAAATGGAAAACGGGTGTTTGAGGTGTATATAAAGAATGGAAAGCTCAATTATACTCTGAATAGGGTGGGAAGTTTGACTGCAAAGTTGACTATTCTAAAAGAGAGAAACAAAACAACCCCATGTGTCTGCGGAGACATGGAAGTTGAATCCTGAGCTTTAAATGAAACCCTTCGAAGTGTTGTCCTGTAATAAAAAAGTAATAAGCCTGGATATGGTCGAACGAGAGGAAATGTAGTAGAGACAAGGTCACGAGTGGCGAGCTATAACGGTGACTCGCTGAAGCTTCGCCTACTTTTTGTTCTCCGACATCTAATGTTGTATTAGGTAAAGCACCAACTATTAGTACCTAAACTCGGGATAGTAAATGGGTTCTGATTTGATCTCTTCCAGTGGGATCGATTTTTAATTTAAAAGTTTGAGTTTGATTTGGGATGAATTTTTAAGGTGTGGTCGGATTAAATTTGAGTACGTGTTTAAAGTGAAAAAAATTTGATCAGATCTAATATAATATTATAAATATTTTTTTATATATTTAAGAATAATTAGAATAATGTATTTTTCTATTATATTTTTTCAATTATATAATTATTTTATCTAATAAAAATGAATTACATATAGGTTCGCGTGTAGATTTTTACTTAAAATATCAATAAAATATCTTGAAGTCAAATATGTTAAAATGCAGATAGAAGATTATAATTTTTTAATTAGGATTTGAATGGATCAAAAATCTAATCTAACATTGTGTCATCCCTAACCTGAACTCTAAGATCAAATGATTAACTCTAAAATTAAATCAATTCAAGAGAATAGAGAATATGCTTTTACTTGAATAGAGAATATGCTTTTACTTGAGATGTGATGATGATATTCATAACTCAAAAGTGATAAGCATGAGTCAAATAACGTGAAGGAATTGAAATCTGAAATGAAAGCTGTAATTTGGTCAAAACAAAAGAAATTTTCAATGTTCAAACCCTTATTGTTTTATTTTTGTTGATAAGAATGCAGATAAACCAGCTGCCTGTTGCAGGCCTCTTTTTCCCAAGTTTTTGTCAAGCAAAATGGGCAGCAGACGTTGATTTGTTGCTCACTGTGGGCTGTTTCTAGACCGCAATCCCTTCCATTTTGTTAATTAAGCATAATCCACAGAAATTAAGCATAACTCGAATGAGATTATTTCAGTTTAATAAAGATTTTAGATTCTAAAGTTTAATAATATAATAATATCAAATATTTAATGAGAAAATTTTATTATTTTTATTTAATTTTTTATGATTAATTATTTAAATCCCCTAATAAATAGAAAGAGGTTAACTAACAAAAATATTAATTATCATTATACTTCGTTTAGTGCAGTCTGAAATGAAGAAAAAACACTCTTTTTGCCAACAGATTGGTATTCCTGCAAGGAGTTTAGGGGTTTTTACCGAAATATCATCTTAGACTCAATAATTATTTGTCATGCACCATCTCTCCTAATATTACCGATCTAGTACCCTTTCTAACACACTGACAATAAAGCGCGGATCGTCATTCGCGCCTTCGCGGGGTTCTGTCTGAGCTGACGCCACGTAAGAAAGATTCGCACCTTCGTTGAACCTCTGACACGTACCGAAGGTTTGAATCATGATTTGCGCCTTCTATTATGCACGTTGAATTATTGGTACTCCATTATTACCCGAGCTTGAAAATTCGACTTTTAAATGCTCCCCTCCCCTATTAATAACAATCACCACACCTAAATTACTTGCTCATTCTCACTTTTATCAATTCATTCTATCAAGTTAAATAGATTTTGTTATTGTTTTTATAAGGTAGAATTATTTTTTATTTAATTATTTAAAATTTTTATTGTACTAATTATTTTGTATTATTTTTACTGTTGTAAAATTGGAAAGCAGGATCATACCTCGAGACATTTTACCGACACGGTAACAATATGAAATTGTGTTATTTAAATTATTGTGAAATTTTTTAATTTTTTTGATTAGTTTATATTTTAATTCATATACTATTTATTTAATTAGACGTATTTCAGCTATTGTTTTTGCAGATATAAGACTCTTAATCTTTCAAACTCTCAAAATGACGCATATTTAAGCTATTGTTTACTATTATGGAGAAATTCAGGAAGATGAAACCGGCGGCGTCTTCGCATCAAATCATTTTGTCAAAATATCCATCAAGAGAAACATCACTCTTGAGGAGATTATCACTAAAATTTCAAGAAATGTTCATGTTGGAAGTACTAGAAGACTGTCATCACTTCAATACAGATTTCCAACCGCAGTATTTCCGTTAACTTATATATCGTTCGAACTCTCCAACGATGACGATGTTGCTATGATGGTTAATTCTTAGAATCAATATTCAGTCGTCGATACATAGATATATGCGACATTTGTTGAAGTGTCTATGGTTCGTGGTATGTCATTATGCTCCCACTATGAGTTTGCTCAACAAGTTGATCAAGTTGACAGCCTAACTCAAATAATGTGTAATGATTTTAACTCGTTAATATGAAATCCACGTCATGGTGTCATCCCATCAAGTTCAATGGGGAGACATTCATCATGATTCTCGCCTTCGGTACGTGTCAGAGGTTCAGCGAAGGCATCCGCGTCTTTTTTTACGTGGCGCCAGCTCGAACAAAACCCCGCGAAGGCGTGACTGATGATCCACGTTTTATTAACACCGTGTCAGAAAGGGTGTTAGATCAATAATATTTGGGGAGAGGGTGTCTGATAGGTAAATATTAAATCTAACGTGATATTTCGATAAAAACGCCAGGAGTTGAAGTCAAACAGCCTCTTTGTATATATATATATAAAGTTAATCTTCATTCTTTTATGGTCTAAATCTTGAAAATGGTTGCACTCAATAGAAAATATCTAATTTTCAACCTTTTCCTTTATTTTACAGCTTCGATTTTATCATATGACTAAAATCGACACTTTTCTTATAATATGATGGAAGTATTAATTGGGACAGATAATAATCATGTCCAAAAATATTTTTGAGAATTATATATATATATATATATATATATATATATATATATATATATATATATATATTATAAAATAATCTAAACAAAATAATAAGAAGAACGATAGGGAGAAGAGATATAAAGATAAAAGGAAAGAATTGTATTATTATTATATCAATATAAATTGTATACAATGCTTTCTGTGAACTCTATATTTATTAGCTGTAGATATTATATAAAACGCTAACTCTAATAAATATTAAAGTCCTAATAATAAAGTATATCAAAATCATATCTTACAGATAGAGATAAAAGATAGAGAAAGACATTCACATACATAAATATTCATAATACTCCCCCTTGGATGTTTATGAAGATAATGTGACTCGTTAAAACCTTATTAAGATAAAATCCCGTGGAAACAAAAATATCTTAATGAAGGGAAAAAAATACACATACCTTTAATAAGCATAACATGTTGCCTCATTAAAAATCTTACCAGGAAAACCAAGTGGGACAAAACCTTGGTTAGGGAAAAATGAAGGGAAAAAAATACACATATCTTTAATATGTATAACATGTTGCCTCATTAAAAACCTTACCAAAAAAATCAAGTGGGACAAAACCTTGGTTAAGGAAAAATAGTATACCATGTATTTACTCCCCTCATGATAATATCACATAATATCTTTGGATAGTACAACTCAATCTTGAATAAAATCTTCAAATGTTCAAGTAAACAATACATCAATGAATATATCTTTTCAAATTATCACTTGAACGAATTCATCAAATATTTACATTACTCTTCTTTTGAAGATCATGGGGGAGAAAACTTTAGAAAAATATGTTTCATTTGATGTATCATCTTTTTAATTGATCTAATTTAAGTACTTGATCTGTAGGTTAAGACAAAAACTTGATTTTATGATTCTTTATCTCAAATATTACTTTAAACGATCAAGATATTTTTGAATTCTTTAGGAATTCTATTTTAAAATTCTTTAAGAGATCAAATTCAAAGTATACAATAATTATCATAATTTGATATTGATGTCTTTATAAAGACATATAAGCTAGAGGACACTCATCTATTCGAATATATCATACACACTTAGATCAATTTATTTCATCTAAATATTTAACTAATATATTTGTATAAATTTCTTAGGAATTTTTAAACGATTCTAACATTTAAATCTTTCATGGATAAATATCATTATATATGGATCCACAAATCATTAGACGCATTATAAAAATTTTCAATAACTACCAGAGTAATAAAGTAATTGCATCTACCACGAATTTAAAGTTTTTATGATTCAAGTCGTGTTGTATATTTTACGACTACTTATTTATACCTTACATTACACCTTTAGGTGTTTGTACATGTTTTGGAAGTTGATATAACTTCTCTTGAATAATGTCTTTCCATGTATCTTAATTATTTTCACATCTATACTCCTAAAGAGATTTCAATTCAAGATCATCATTTTTTACTTCTATAAAAATATTGTTTGTAAAATCATTGTCGACAACTTTATTATTTTGGTTCTATTTTTTTCTCTTAATGACATAACTTATCGAGATCTCTTCATCATTTTCATTTTCAACCATCTGAAACTCTTCTAGAGTTGTATTGTTAGTTATGTTTTAGGTCTCTTCAGGAGTACCCACCTCTGTTATATTACCATCTTATATTACTTTTCATTTACGAGAATTTTTGTTGCGGAAGACGGCTATCGGATAGAGCAAAATCGCAACTGATAATTTGAGAAAATAAAAAATGAAGATAAAGAAGACACAAAATTTACGTGGAAAACACCTAAATAATATAAGGTAAAAACCACAGGCAACGGTAGAAGAATTTCACTATGAGAAAATAGGAATTATAACTTCTCTCGATCTACCAAGGAGAAAACAATGATAATTCTCTCTTGATAAAAAGGAGAAAACAACTCTCAAGAAAACTCTCTAAATTCTCTAGTATTGGGAGAAAGCTAGAATGATTTGGGATGGTTTTGAAGCTAAATGAGCTAGGGTATTTATAGTTGAAGCTTAAGGACTAATCTTATAAATATCCTAAAGTACAATGACTAAATTAGCATTTTTACCATTTACAAAAGTCATGCCAATTGCACCACTTGCACCGAATTCATTAATGCACCGTTCTCCTTTTTGACTTTGCAACAATCTCCCACTTGAAGATTTGATTGGAACAATCATATCTGCACACAATTCTTTCTACCTTGTACCATCATGTTGCTTACGTCTCTGACAGGCCACAAGAGGATCGACACCAAGTAAATTTATCAGCATTGATCGTCTTCTTCATGAAATCTG